TTTTTTAGTCTAAGATATAGAGTGTGTCACAAAAGTGAGTAAATTTAACACATCTGCTCCCCATTCATACCTGAGACCTTGTAACACAAAAGAGAAAGAGTCACATGACACCAGGGAGGGAAAATTGCTAATTGGGTCCAATTTGGACATTTTCACTTAGGATGTACTCACTTTTGTTGCCAGCGGCTTAGACATTAATAGCTGTGTATTGAGTTATTTTGAGGAGACAATCAATTTACACCGGTACAAAAGCTGTACACTGACTAGATTGTAGCAAAGTGTCATTTCTTCAGTGTTGTCCCATGAAAAGATATAATAAAATGTTTGCAGAAATGTGACATACTGTAGGTGACAACTCGTGAAAAATTGAAAATTTTCTCCCATCAAGTTTTAGACTATTTGAGTGTTTCAGCATTGGGACCTCTAATTAAAGCAAACAACTGTGAAAATGTAATCTTCTAAGACTCAAATCTGAGATGAATTTATTTAATAATTCATAACTTAAGTTAGTCTGGTTTAGTTTTCAGCTTTTCTTTGTAGATTGATAAAGGATTCAGATCAGCTCAACAACATTTACGCAACGAAACCACCAGAATTAGGTAGATTTTCTTATCTCTCAAAAGATGGATTTTGTAAGAGAAACCATAGCCTGCAGCTCACATACCTTTTTTTTTTTTTTAGCTCCTCCTTTATCATGATGCAAACACACACAGTGATGCGTGCTATTACATAAGTTCTAGGTGTGCTCTGGCAGGACAAGCTGTTCCGGAGGAGGGCTGAGTAAGGTCGGACGGAGGAAATGTAACTCCACAAGAGTGTAGTTTTGGCTTTTGCAAAACCAGTAAAAGCAGTACGGAGCAGATTCTCTTTAAAGCAGTCCTGCGAGGGATGCGCCTCGTATCACAGTCAGATCTGTAATCTGGGTTTGAATTGATCTGCGGCCTTTCCCTCAATGCGTCATGTAATTCCACACACAAAGACATATTACCCACAGATTTCCCAGCTGGTGAGGATGTGGCAAGCTGTCCAAACTTATCTAAAATTGTCCTCAGGAGCTGAAATTGTGAAGACGTTGAGGAGATTGCAGCCAAATTAAACTGCCTGGCTGTTGCTCTAAACCCACAAGTTCCATCCCTAATTATAAATCATTTTTAAGACACTTGAATCTAAACTTAAAATAACCATTCTCCCAATTTAATATCTTTGGGGTCAGCTGTGTGAAGTCGTCTTGTGTTTTTGTGGAGCACCAAAATAAGATCAGTGTAGGCGATGTGTGCATAGATGTAGCCTTAATGGGTTGTGTGCTAGTGCAATGGGGATTAAGTGTTAAGGTAATAATCCTTAGTCACCTCCGAAGACTTTAGTCATCTTCTTTCAAACAAGAACAGCTTTATTACAGCTGAGCGACTGCTGCACTGCTCATCCATGACACAACCTTGGAGCGGGCATGCCTGTGTTTGTAAGTCCATTTATGTGTGTGTGTGTGTGTGTGTGTGTGTGTCGGTGGGGGGGAGAGAATAGCGGTGTTTGCAGGATATGTGGAAACAAGGGTGCACAAGCAGGTGCCACGTGGCATTGAATGTGCTAAGCCAAGACGAGGGCCGCTGTGAGGCCGGAGTGTGTTCTCAGCTGTTGGGGAGGGTGTGTGTGTGTGTGTGTGTGTGTGTGTGTGTGTGCGCGCGGTGTTTTTCATCTACAGTCATACTAGCCTGGACCACCTCACTAATCCGGGCACATCTGAGAGCAGGCGTTGCGGGGGGACACACGCGACACACTCTCACATGACACATGTTGTCTCACACACATTCAGACACTCGCTGCTCGAGGCACGCATGGCCGAGTGTCAGCTGTCCGACAACCTTCTCTTACAGTCAGCTTCAGCTACGCACTCCTCCTCCTCCTCCTCCTCCACCTTCCTCGTCACTGCATCGGGAAACAAATGATCGGAGAGAAATAAAAGTCAGGTTGTTTTCGTACCTAAATATCAATCATCCTTTGATTGGAATGTTCAGTATTGGAAAAATCCCTGCTGCACATATCCTGAACTGAAACGCAGCTCTGTTACGTGCATATCTTCAGGTATCTGTCATGAGGTTTATTTTTTTCCATTTGGTGCTTTTTGGTTCTAGCAGTCTTTTCTTCATCCTGTGATGCACTCATTTGTTTTGGCTAAAGCATCAGATTTTTTCAGCTGCTTTAGTTACAGCAGGAATGTTGAACGCCCCGAGTCGATAGTGAGGAAAGCTTACCTATCTGGGCCATTGTCTAAATATGGCATCTGATTTGCTCGTATTTCTCTGTGCCGGCCGTCCGTCTCCGCACCTCGTGGAGAACTTCCCACCTCTGTGTGAGGGAACATTTGACTCCGCTGTATGAAAACGGTGTGTGTGCCGCTGACGTAGACTTCAGAGAAGCCTAAGCAGGCGATGTTGTAACAGATTTCTGCAACTTGTTTATGGTCACCCAGTGGTAAGTGATTCAGTCGGAGGTGAGACAGTTCATTCCTCTGTACCTGCAACTTCTCAAACATCCTCAACTGCAATCATTGAGAAATGTGTTAACTCAGAATTGCATACTTCACACCCATAATCCTCTGTTAGCAGAGTTACCACAGCAAGCACAGTATTTGCAAATACAATGCAACATTAGCATTTAATTTAGGTTGTGTTGGAGTCCACTTAATGGATCAAAGTCACCTTTCAAGCTGTTTTGGTCTCCACAAAACAATGTTTGGGTTAAGCAACAAAAAACAAGAATTTAGGCTTTCTGAGTTGTGACAATTTCTAATTAAATGATGTTCAACCAACAAACTCCATTGATTTAGGGGACTGAGCGATTCATCTACAATCCAAGTTATTTTTGATTACAACGTATTTATTGGTAGCATAAAAATGTTGGACACATACAAAGGAAGCTATTCCAAAGAGAATTTCAGTGTTTTTAAGAAAGACTTTTTAAGTCACGTACTTACCATAATTATGAACATAAGTATTTAAGTTGGCAAATTTGAAAAATGAAGATGCTTCATTGATAAGTAGGTAGAAGATGGGACTTGCAATCCTGACCTCGAGGTGAAGAACTTGGTTATCCAACCAATTTTATGAAGTTGCTTCAATTTAGTTTTAAATCGGCTATTGCAGAAATTTGAGTTTGAATGTCAAATTGATGCAACATTTTTATGTCAATCCCACACATTAGAATGATGCTTGCAACCTAAAAGTGTTGTGAGATGTGGACCTTTTTTAAATTGTTTCAGCCATCATTCACACCTGTAGTAAAAGCAACAAACCGTTCTGACTGTCCGTTGCTCTCAGAGATTCTAGCAATTACTTCAACATGCACAATAATATCATAGCTGTTTAAAACATTAGCCAAAACTTTGAAAAGTAAGTTGTAACAAACTGGAATTATCCTTTAACCCCATGCCATATTCACCACAGTAAACATCTTTTTATTTTGTTCAGCCTCGGCGCTCACTGTGTCTGTCTCTCAGTGTCTTTCTATTTAAAACCTCTCTCTGGTTGGGGCTCTGCCTGGGTTTGGTGACCCTGGGTGTATGAGAGGAAGGGAGGAGTCTGTGCTGCTGGTGGCAACGGACAGAGAAGAAAGGGGGAGAGAGGAAAAAGAGGAGAGGACCCTGCTCGTGTAGCTCAGAGCTGGGCTGTTTAATCTCTACAGGACCGTCAGATGGCTTTGACAGAGCGCAGGCACCAATTAGGCCGCAAGATTAGGGGGGCTTTGTACTTCTGAAAAGCTTCTGGACGGACCTTTTTATTCTTCCTTCCTGCCTTGGTTTTATATCTTCACTGGGACTCCTCACCCGCCCTTAACCTTATCCCCCTCCCCGCCCCTCTCTTCCTCCCCCTCACTGTCCTCCTCCAGCCCGGCGAACTGCTCCTTAAAATCTGCGATTATACCTGGCTAGACATTGAGAGGAGTGGATTAATAAGGCAGCTCGTCAGTGTGGGTTGGCAGGGGTGAGCTGCAGAGTTAGTTAGTAGGCTAGCAAGGTGGCAATTTGGATGTTTATTGGGGTCCAGGGTGCCTGCTGGCATGGATATGGAGCCAACTTGCAAAGACTCCAGCTTCCATCTGCACAATATGACGGTAGAGTACTGGGGATTGGGACATCCATATTTATATCTGAGTTTTTTTGTCAGCTCCTAAACTCTGTTGTGTGTAGACAGGCTGTGCACAGTGTACAGCATATGTAACATGTATGGCATCTACTTCTTACATATCTGTGGTTGTTTACATGCACACTAGACTGCCTGCTTGTGCACATATTTACACACACACACACACATGTACAGACACACTGCTCCTCCTGACTACATGGAAACAATGACAGGAAGTACATTAGCGGGACCTCCATTGTATCTCCCCATACGTCCTCGCTTCCTGAGCCGGGTGTGGGTGATGTCGAGGGGGGACACAGGGTGGAGTGAGGAGATGTGCACAGAAGAGTCCCCCGCTGCTTCCCGACCCAGCGTCGAGGTGAGCTGACAGGAGAGGGGGGTTGGAAATGTCTGGGCCGAGGCAGACAGAGAGCTCCTTAATCCTGCAGCCTTCTGCTGCATGTTGCCTCAGCTATGGAGCTCTGCGGCCTGGAAGTCTCCCAGTTGCTGACCTGTGGTCAGTTTCATTGTTTCACCTCTCAGGGTACAAATTTGGATTCTGTCACGGTCAGCTGCTCCCAGATCTGCACACAAGGTGACAAACTGACTTTAAGTCAATTAGTTGTCATCCCACAGAGGGGGACAGATGGTGGGAAGGTGGGAGTCACCCAACCTCAGGAATGCCCATGGCAGCCTCTGTGGTCATTTAATTGTGGCAGAAACAATAGTCAGGCAGCAAGCTGTGTATTCTAAATGTGTGTGACTGTTTTGCCCTTTTCACTTTGGCCATGTGTTTTAAATAGTTTTTGCATTGTAATGAGACTGTGTGTACTTGGCAGTTATCTGACTTGCTCTTGTCCTCCTGTCTGCTCTGTGTTTTAGGTTTGCCACCACCCAGACTGCCAGGACCTGAACAGCAAAAGCCCCCTTCACCTGTGTGAGTCATGTGACTCACGCTGCCATTCGGAGAACACAGACAACATGCACTTTGATCGGCACCCCCGATTCGACTTACAACCTCAAGGTAGACTTGCATGATTTCTTTATTTGGTATTCCCCCACTGACAGAGCTGATGTCAGCCCCATTACCTCATTACAGGATTTCACTGTGTAAATATCGAGGACACTGAGTTTTTATTGTTGTCTAAATAAGGCAGATAATGTAAATCACTTTCCTGTTGCATTTTCGTTCTAATGTGTTTGAAGTTTTGTAATTTATGTGATCATTCATGCGCGTCTGAACAATTCTCATTGTTGCTGATATTTAAGGGCTGGTTCACCCAGATAGAAAACAATGGAAGAAATTGTAGTTCCAGAATAATTTCTTCAAGCTTATTTGGATATCATAAATGCTTGTTGCCTTTTTCACTGCTTTTTTCTGTCGCTACCTTTTAGAAAAGTAGCAGAATTGCAAGAATCTTCTGCAGGAAGATCGTGTTGTCATTTAAATTATGTCTTTCAATCTCTGATTGGTCAATTGTTTATAGAAACTGGAAGAAACAGCCATTAATGGGCTCAAACCCTGTCTTATCTGAATTTCTGAGTAAATAGAAGTGCGTGCATTTCATAGGTTTGTACTCAGATTAGTTTTTTCGTAGGTTGAGATTTACATCCCTGATACAGTGAAGACAAATTCCCCATTGTTTCTGGTAGAGCTGTTCCAGAATCAGAATTTTGTTAGTTAAATCTGAATTTCTTTTTTGTTTTTTTTCGGCTAAGTGTCTTTTTTCTAGCTTGACATATTAGCTGATTAACTTCATTAAGGCCTCGTTCAGGTCTGCACTCCTTTCTGTTCATCTATCGGCAACTGAAAGTGCCAGCTTCATGTCTGAATTTAGCGCCCTGGTTACATAAAATTTGTGATGTCAGTCTTGCTAAGTCAGACCTAGTACCTTTTCCGTATCATTTTAACACCAGACAAGTGTGAAATGCACCAAATCACAAACAGTGATACTTTGAATTGTGCGAAAAGAATAAGGAAACACTTTTCCCCACATTTCAGCACCAATATCTGTCCAGAAACATCAGAGGAAGAATCTTTCCCTTGAGTTTATTAAATACCTACAGCATCGGATGGCAGCAGAATCCACCTCTCCAACGTGAGAAGGTGGAGCATATTGGTGTGTATAGAGCAAGAGAGCCAGTAACTTCATAAATCTTTTGTAATTCTAAATTATTTCAAACATGGATACAGGATCAGTCCAAGAGTCACAAGTTAGTGCTGTTTGTAGGAGTCTTTCCTCTGACTTTATTAAATACTTTACCTACAGCATCAGGTAACAGCAGGGTCCGTATGAGCATCTCCAAAGCAAAGTTTTGCAAATTTATGCATGGAACAACAGCAGTAACTTTATTAGGTAGTTTTAACTATAAATTATCTCTAACATGGAGACAGGATCAATTAGTATTTAGCAGCCAGTCACACTGTTCTTTTACTATTTGTCAAGTAGTTTATCATCACGCATGGTCAGAATATTCAGGTTTTGAATATTAAATATACGAGGCAGGCTGCTATTAGTTTCGATTGAGTGTTTTGCTTGTTATTGCATTATTGTGTATTATACATCACTTGGTGTATGGTCAAAACTCAGGCAAATGGTTAATATTGTGTGAGGACTGTGGCCACTATGGTGGGTTTGTCTGTGTGAAGCCATGAGAAACATTAACAGAAAAGCAGACCAATGTCCAAATGACAGAATGCCGTCGATTTAACCAGCTAATAATGGTAATTGGAGAGCTCTTACACAACAGCATAGGCCATGTGTAGCTTTTTTATGACTAATTAAAGTAACTGAGTCACCCGTGTGGACAGTAGCTGCTGGTAAAGTTGCTTCTCTAACACACTGGAATCACTAGCAGCGTTATAACTGTCAAAGCAAAATAGCAACAAATTATTGAAATTGTGCCAAAAAAAAAGTGAAAAACAAAATAGGAATTAGACTTATTTACATTAACTGCGTGGAGCGAATAAACTAGGCTGTGTAACTTCGTCAAAAGGTCGCGGTTAGTAAATTAGTAGCCTAAACAAATGAAAGCTCACATAACGAAACTGAGATTGTTCAAAGTGTGCATAAAAATACATAATGGAAATACGGCTACGGTGTCTCAGAACACTGAACTTTTGTCACACGTGGCTTAACCACGAGTGCAGTTTGTGTTATATAAACAGTTGCTTGCTATCTACCACTGATGCTTAGAAGCATAAACATTTACAGGGAAGTTTTAGTTTTTGGTGATTACAGAAAACAATCTTCTATTATTCACTTACTTTAGTGACTTTATTGACAGCTTTTTTAAATTTGACCTGCGTCCTTGTGGGCAAAAGGGTGTGCAGGTTGATTGATTAATTTTTGCAAATTGGGACCATTGATATTAGAACAAATTAACTGCTAGTTAAGTCGAGTCACTGTTATTTACATTACATGTTTAAAACAACAGCTGCTGGACTGAAGTGCTTTTCAGTGAAATAAGACTGTGATGGGTGTCACAAAGTTTACATACGAATGTGTCAGAAAAGTTTCAGGACTGGTGTCACAAAAGAGATACTTCAAATCTAAACTACAAGTTTTCCCCTTTGAAGTTATCCCCCTGGAGTCTAACACACTTTCCCAGCCTTCTCTGCCACGCCGCCATGTACTCCTGGAAGGATTCTTCCAGGATCCTCCACAGCTCCATTGTCACAGCCATCTTAATGTCATCCATGTCTTCAAAACGAACTTGAGCTTGGGAAAGAAGAAAAAAATCACATGGAGCCAGGTAGGATGAGTAGGGAGGTTGCTCCAGCACGGCGATGTTCTTCTCAGCCAGAAACTGTGGGATGCTCAGGGCATTGTGAAGCAGCCACGACTTGTCCTGCCACAACTCTCTCCTGTTCTCGCGCACTGAACGAAGCAAACGCCGCAGGATCTCTTTGTAGAACTGCTGGTTGATCGTCTGAAGGGGGAAACTGGTAGTTTGTAGTTTGGGTTTGAAATATATCTTTTGTGACACCAGTCCTGGAACATTTGTGACACACCTTGTATTATCTGACTGTGATAACTTAGTTTTTTTGTTAGGAGTTCCTATATACAATGCATTCATGGATGCGTCAGACAACTTGACTACATTGGCAGTGAAGAATCAGTGAAGCATATTTTTGATTTCCTGATGTTGCTACAAAATCCTCTCCCCCCTCTGTTGAGATTAGGCCTCAATCTCAGAGGCCAATATCTTAAAGTCTATGTAAATCTGCTTGAAGCAGGAGTTTTTTTCCCTTAGTTTGTGGGTGAACCAGCTCTTTAAAGGTTGATATTAAAGGCTAACTTAGCCGAGCTCCAACAGAGGGAATGACTGCTGTGTTTTGTTAACCCTCAGCCTCCATCCTGGCTCGGAACGTGTCCACGCGCTCCTGTCCCCCACGCACCAGCCCCCCCTCCGACCTGGAGGAAGAGGACGAGGGGAGCAATGACCGCGGGTTGGTGACCCTCCGTTATGTCATGCTAGTGCTCATGTTCTGTCAGTGGAGCTCTTGTCTTTTCCCACTGGACGATAAATCACAGCCATGAAATGTGTGTCTCTGACCGTTCTTTAAGTCTTGTTGCCTCACATGAAGGAGGCCCTTTTCTCATATGTTGTTCTTTTTTAAAGAACTGCAAGGCATGATTATGTGTGTAACTGTTTTGCAGGGAGCGTAAAACGGTGGCGATAAAGTTGGCGAAAAAGAAGCCACGGAGACGACACACTGATGTAAGTAATCGTGCAGACACATGTGCTGTAGTGTAGAAAAAGCCACCCCCCCCATGAACCCCCAGTCTGTTTTCTGTTCCTGGAAAGAGTGTAGAGGAAGACCGTGTAATACACGCTGGGAGTTGTGAAATACAGCAGCAGCTCTATAGCATAATGGTATCGCCTTGGCTGGTGTTCTGTGTGAAGCAGGCAGTGTAGTGAGAAGGAGCCCCCCTGTGGATCTGCTGAGAGCATACATTCAGCCCGACAGCCCCACCTGTGTAAACTAACAGTGCGTCTGTTCTCCCTGCAGGACCCCAGTAAGGAGTGCTTCAGCCTGAAGTTTGACCTCAATGTGGACATAAACACAGAAATTGTACCTGCTATGAAAAAGAAAACGCTGAGGTGAGAGAAGAGAAGGGAAGGCAATTAAAATCAGAAGTAACTGCTTCTTCACCAAGTATGAATTTTTAATTTTCTTTGCCATGTGTAACCAGAGAGGTTCTAGGTCCAGTTTTCGAGAGGAACGGCATTGAATTGTCCCGGGTGGACTTATTCCTGGATCAGTCCAATACGCCGCTGTCCCTCAACTTCGAGGCCTACCGTTTTGGAGGACACTACCTCAAAGTAAAAGGTAAAAACTGACCATCCATCCGATGAACCCAACCTTGTGCCTGATTTGTCACTGTTGACTGATCACTGCAGCAGTTAGAACAGATTAAAAATCAAAATCACAAGTATTACTGCAGATGTCGAATATTTTTTAAATTAGCATCATTTACATCTGTAATTGTAGTAAATACCCTGCTGAAGTTACAAAATTGCTCTTATGTAAAATGTTGCACCCTGACAAAAAGTCACCTGTTCAGTTTGTCTTGCAAAGATAAAATTAGCTTGATAATGGGGGGAAAAAAAGCAGTTTTGTGTCATGAAGCTCTCAGTGACACATAAAAGTCAGTGTCAAAGAAAGGTGTCATGTGTTGGTGTGAGATTTTCTGCTTGATAAAATGAATAGAGATGATGTATCCACATTCTCCAGGAGCAGAACAAATATTTCTATTTAACTTGGATGCGTTTGTTTTTCTCCAGCGCCTGTTTTCAACTGTAACAATCACTTAGTTGTTGGACATTTGTAAAAGAGCTACAGCCAAACAGTCATACATTAAACCTAAAAATGAATTCAAATGGTGCAATTCAATCACGCGCAGTTTTGTTCAGAAAGAGTCCTCAGCCACGGTGTGTTTTGGACGTTACAGTGGTCTTATCTCCGGGCCTTTAACAATAGTCTGAGTAAGACATATGATGAAGGCCAGTTTCCTCTCACACCCGAGTTTCTGACTACAAGGAAAAGGAGTGGACCATATCCTCGTGATATCACCGCCATCAGAGCTCCAAGTGGAAAATGTGTCACTGATCTGCTCAATCTTGTCCTAAATGTTTTCTGACAGTTCCTGTGAATTTGAAATGACAAGCAGGAGAAATGCCATGACACGATGAGATATGCTTTTTTCTTTTTCTTTGTTTTGTTATTAGTGGGAAATGGGAAGGGCATCCCGGCTCTGCACTACCACTTGTTACAGTTTCCGAATCATAGGCCCATTAAAGCCGTTCATAAAAGAGATCCGATGCCATGAATAAGGAATAACTGCTATTCTTTTGATGTTGTCACTTCCTGACGCTCACCTCTTGACCACAGTCTGGAGTTACGTACAGTCTAAAACACAGAGTGAAAGTCAAATAGTCCACAGCTGTTCAGTCAAATAAAGGCTGAGAATTTAGATTGTGCTGTTTATTTTTGTTCTGTGTTTTAAAAATGTAAAGGAAAACCGCTGTGTGATCTTGAGCAAATCATAAACTAGAATCAGCATTTTTAATAACATTAGTACTGCTTGTATGCGAAAGAGCTCACTGAATCTGCACTTTTCGGCATCAAGTTCATCATTTGTTGTGGCTTAGTAGATTTTCTTACTTATTTTTATTATATGTTTTTATTGTAAAACACTTTGCAACTTTGATTTTTGTTTACTTCTCTGATAATGTAGTTTTTGGTCGTTACAGGTGTCTGTTTTCAGCAAAAAGCTCCTAAAATGACTTTATTATACTTGTGGAGGTGCAAATAGTGACAATTATCTGATTTTAGAGGCAAATATTCACTCAGCAGTAAAACCAATACCATTCAAATAGAGTGAATACTTGTCTTAAATGTACCTAGTGTGTAGAAATTCTTGTTTTAAATGAAAGCTAATGTTGCTGTGTGTCTGCTTTATGTGTAAAGCTGTTTTCTACCAGACTTGCCAAAAGGGTGAAAATGTGTTGACATGTCCATGTTCTATTTGTAGCCCATTTTCTGCTGCCCTCAAGTGACCAAAAAAAGAATCATTGCAGGTTTAGTTTAAGCCAGACTCTAGGTTTAAGCTTGCTTTGATTTGTATTAACTTCTGTTGGGTCTGTTTGCGTTAATTCAGACAGAATTCAGGATTTTCTTTTGCTGGATTGTCTCATTTTTGTTCAATCTTCGTAAATATGTTTACTGGGGTCGAAAAATGAAGCTCTGTAAAACATTTCTTGTGTTTTCAGACGACAAGATGTTTTTTATTTTCAGTCTCAAAAAAGTTCAGTACTGCCATGAAATGTGATGACGGCACGCTCAAAATCATTTACAGATAAAATCCAAATGATTGAATGGCTCTTCCAGAGGCCATATATTTGATCATTGGCCCTTTAAAATGGATAAAAAGATCAACAGCATCAAACAAGGGTGGTACTGGAGCCCCAGGAGGTTGCTGTGAGTGTATTAAAATGGATGTATCAACATTTTCTACTAAAAATACAGCCTTCCTTCAACATTTCACCAACTTTTAAAGCCTCTAATATCAGTTCAATTTGATGTGTTGCAAGTATTATAAGCCAATGTTCCTTTTCTTTTTAGTTTTCTTTGTAGTCAGAGCTGGTATGGTGCCAGAACAAGTACTACTGGCATCAACAGATATCAGATGGAGGCCACTTGAATGCCAAAATTCTGAATTGGGTCCTGAATAACAAATAATTAAATTCTGAACATAATCTGAGATGGTGGAGCAACACTGCTGAAATGAGCCTGTTTAAGTAAAAAACAAAAAACAAAAAAAACAAAACAACAACAAAAAAATAAATAAATTGTGGTCTTTATTGTGGTCTCCTCAGCACTGAAAATAAGTAAATAAAGCTATAAAGACAGTTTTCCTGAATGTACCTCAGTCTTGTTTTGTTTTGCTATTTTCTAGCACGACCAGGTGATGAGCTGAAGGTAGAGCAAGGTGTGAAGGACCTGCGGTCGCTCAGCCTGCCCAACATGAAGCCCTCAGGAGGTCAGAGCCCCTACATCCTCACCCCGGGCAACGACAAAGTAGAGCATGGATCTCTGGGACGCCGCGAAAGCATAGATCTGTTGGTGAGTTACGTGTTTCCCTAACAGTGTCACGTGGTCGTGTTTCATGTGACGCTGCAGCTCACATGTGAAACCGTCTGTCAGACTCATCACACTGAACGGCACCACCTCCTCAAACCACACTCTGCACATAAACATAGACACACCCTGAGACTCCTATTGTTTTTGCCACACCCTTTGTCATTTTCCTTAACGTTACCCCGTCTTCCCATAACGCCTCAGGCCACTGTAGTATCTTGTGGTAATCTCATCATGACCTCATTGTCTTCAATGACTGCTATCTGCCCAGCAAAGTCCTGGCCATGTATTTGTGGATTTCCGCTGTAGTTGTCTGCCGGCTCAGTGAGTGTCTTTGAGTTTGTCTGCGCCGGTGTTGCCTGGTGCTGCCGAATGAAACCTTATTTGATGATGAGTTCAATCACAACCACTCTCTGCCACTTGAGCGCTTCCTGCAGCGACGGGAAGTGGCTGTTTTGTTACTGATGAGAGATGCTAAGAGGCCGACGGAGGCCTGCAGGATCCTGATCCACATGACTGCCAAACATGGAGGCTGGAAGTAGGCCAGGCGGTCATCAGGTTCAAACTGTGGCACGCACTGTAATGACTGTGAGCCGGAGTTGTGGCTCTTAAAGGATGAACTGTCTTCTGAACGCCAACTTTGATGAGTTTTAGCATTAACGCACATTAACCAGGCTTGAGCTTTAGAGCTCCGGATCGGTTCAGCTGTGGGATGTTTTGATTATTTATTTATTTTGAAATACCCAAACCTTTGCTTGAAATTGTAATATTTCATCCAAATCACTTACTTACTTTTTTTATTTAAAAAAAAAAAAAAAAAAAAAGTCAAATGAAACTTTTTTCACCATTACTGTCTCTGCAGCAACCAAAAGTCCTGTGACAAAAATTGTGTGACTGTTTTCCTGCAGGTTGTGTTTACACAGACCAGATAAGTATAGCAACCAGTTAGAAATAAGCAGTAAAATATCACCAGTAGTGGGAAAAAATGGTGGCTCTACATACTGTAAACGCCTGTGGGCACTTGGAACAATGTCGATTCTAGGCTTTTAAAACTCTTGGAAGACAAAGAATTTTAGCTCTTTTTTTTTTCTTCTTTTAGTTTTTATGGCATTATAACTTACTGTACTGTAAACTTGTGAGTTCTCTACTCCTAGTCATGGTTGTGCTGTTTCCGTAGAGGCGCAGGACTTTTTTTATTGCACTGAAAAATGAGCTCACAGTGAGTAAAAATGTAGTCTGACTCACCGGATGTTGGACACAAGTATAGGCCTGATGTCGGTCGCCTATTTCAGTTGGCTTTCTCCTATCCTTCCCCCAAAATCCACCTCACTATGAGAAACAGCAACCTCCTGCCCTAACCCTAAGCTGATCACACTAAAAATTTCAATTTTGGGATTTAAATATTGCAGTAAAGCAAACCTGCTTTTTTTCTTCTGGTGGATTATCTCTTCAAATCACACTGCAAAGGTTCCACCACAATAGCTCCACCCATCACTATTTTGAGGGAACACCAAAGCTGCATCCTTTGCTTAACTCCACCCAAGACAGCTGTAGAATAGTAGAATAATAATGAGGTGCAGCCAGAACATTGTTTTGATCCACTGAAATTTTTAGTAGCTGAAACAATAGGGCCTTGATTTCAGTGAAACGTTGGCTTCTCTTTTTTTTAATCCCATCAATTGCACACTGTGTGTGATGCAGCGAGCCGGCTAAATAGAGTAATGTCAGGTTCATGTGTCTCATACTGACTTTTTAAAGTTTTTAGCTTACTAATCTTACAGTGTTCTTAAATATGAAAAGCAACTTAACAAGTTGAAATATCGGGGTTAGGTGTAATTTTACATGAGTAATTTGAATGTTAGTGATTTCAACCCTGCCAAAATTGTATGAAAAGCCCCAACTCTCGTAGCTTACAAGCTTATACACAGTGGAGAAATACTACATACCGACTAGTGGACGAGCGAGTCGTGAACTGTACCTTTTTATTAGCGGGGTTGCTCAGCTGTGATTGGATACTTGCTGTTTGTAGGAAGAATTAGAGACCGATCAGCTGTTTATTTTGTCCAGCCAATCATCTAAAACCCAAACATATATAAAGGTAGAAAATGCCTAAATCTTTAAATGTTTAGTCTTCTTAATTGATTAACATCTTAAAAGATGTAGCCAATTATTCAGAGTTTCCATCAATTAACTTGTTATTTTGCAAAAAACAATCATTTTCAGCTGTAGCGGTAGCTTTGTGCTTTAGCTGTTGAGTATTTTATAAATCATTATTTAACTTGCCATGTTGCCATCCTAACAAAGCAGCTGCTTTAGCTGTATTGTCACAGGTTTGTGTTATCGCCTGATATCGTCATCAGCTTGACCTCTCGTGACACCGCTTGGGATCAAACCCCTCAACAATTAAGCATTAGTGTCAATGTTGTGATGAAGTGCACAGACAGCGTACGTCATCTGTGGTTAATTGCCCTTCAGGCAGGTTGAGACTCACCTACAGGTGAGTTAGATTATGTATATGTGCGCCGTAAACAGATGTCACCTTTGCTTCAGGCAAGGAAACGGGTGGAGGCTTGGTTGAGGTAAGTCAGTAAAGTTAGTCATCCAGTAACGACGTAAACACTGGATGTTGCTGAGGAAAGCTGAGTTTAGTCACACAGTGTCTGGCCCTGGTGAAGTGTGGAATTTTTGCATTTTACTTGATTTGTTCCGTCAAACTACAGGCAGCGTACTTCCTCTCAGCAAAGAATTTCAGCTGAGCAGGTAATGACTCGTCAGTAATGTGAGAGACGATAACAGCTCCGGTCCTCAGAGGGGCAGCAATGTGCTGCTTCTGACAGTCCGCTGGCAGGAAATGCTGAAGCTGTGCCTGCAGCTGTGTGGCATCACAAAAGACACTTTTCATCGATAGAAGAGGTGCTGAGACTCTCTGCTCAAAGAAAAGCAGTAATGTAAATACAAGTTCTGCATTCAGAATGTTAATGGAGAAAAAGTACATAAGTGTTGCCAGCAAAGTTGTCCCTTACATTGTGAGATTATACAATAAACCTGCTTCATATGTTACTTAGACCCACCTGAGCCTGTTTGAATACAGGGCTTATGTGTGCTCAAGGATGGGACTTTTCATGACACCTTCAATTTTTTCCCCCATATTTCAACTCCCCCATAGTCAAACATTATTTGATTTGCCTGTCCATTATGGCTGCGTATTGAATCAATAGCATCATGAGAAATAACTGTAAAAACTTTAGGATTTTGTCTTCTGCAGTTCCTGAAATATTGTCATCCAAACATCACCTCCAGTTTTAATGCGTGAAATTAAATGCACTAGAAGTGGGCAGTTTTTAAAAAAGTTTTTATCTTGGAAAGCACTGGATATGTAAAGTAAAATTTTAGGCAAGTCAGAGATGGAGCGCTGACTGATCTAAAATCGATGGAATGATTCTGTATTGATATTCTTGCTCAACAGCAGAAACCCTGTGAACCGTTTTGGATGCCGGCCCATATTTTATGAAAACTGTCGGGAAGACAAAAGGCTGTGCTTGGACATGTGGGCACCGAGTGCAGTCCTCGAGTTTCTATGGCAGCAGCTTTGGCACTCAGCGTTAAACGCATGCGTGCCTGCTTTTTGTGGAATCAAAGGCTTTGCTCAAAGAAGTTTAGATATTTGCCCAGTGTCCAGATTCATGGCTTGGCACAGCGGCCAGCTTGTGCCAGGCTTCAGAAGAAAAGCTGCCAAATCCTGTCCTTTCTGCGTAGAGTTACTCTTTTGTTTGAATGGGGGTATTTCAAGTTTATTATCGCATGGATGTTACATTTTATAGTCCCTGGCAGTGCTGTGATAGGCTGCGGAGAGCTTTGATGATCTGGATTGATTATTTTACGACAGGGGTCTTGGACCAAGCTCTCTGATTGGTCAGAGATGCATTCCAGTCCTGCTGATAGCCTCCTATAAAGCACTGCTGCCAGTCGGAACCTCGCGCTTATTGCACCATTTGCAAATAATCATCCTTTTACACCCCTTCAGTATCTGCGCTGTATCAGATCAACTTTATACAGGCTGAACAAGTTCAACTTTTAACCTGCGGTGTGAAGTGGAAAAAAAAACACACACAGTGAGACCTAAATACGAATCAACAACCAACACTGAAGTCCACCTCATCCATCTATATTTGGGTTATTTGACCAGTTACATTCAGTAACTAAACTAAACTAAAACCCTCAACAACAACAACAACTTGAAGAATTTAATGCTATTTTACAGATTTTTCCTGTTTTAGTACATTACAGACAACAATGAGTAAAATCTCAGTAAAAAAAAATAATAAAAGTATTAATTTACATGTTAACTGTAAAAAAATAAGAATAAAATAAGCCAAAGCTGTATAAAATTATGCACACTGTAAATCTGTGCTTTTACAAATGTGTTGCTTTACATTGTTTGGCCATGAAGCTATACAGTTTGTACTGTATATAAATCAGCAAAAATATAATTTTATTACTTTATTTGTGCTGTTCTTTGACCAAAAAAAAAGGAAAAAATGTAAATAAATTTTTAACTGTCATTTTACAGATTTTCCCTGTTTTGTTAAATTACAGGTGATAGCTAGTAATATCACAAAATAATATTAATATACTTTTTTTATTTTAGTTTTTTTAAAGTCCAGAACTCTATATAATGTGCACATCAAAAATCTGTATTTTTATAAATAGTAATTTGCTCTTCTACACAGTGTAACAATCAAAGCTATAGTGACTGTATTTCAATTAGCTAATATATTATTTTTCACATAAATTCTGCAATTTTCAAAGTTTTGACAGCTTTTGAACATCACAGTAATTCCCTTCTTTTTTTCTTTTTTTTTTAAAGTTTTTTCACACTTTTTAAATGTTTTTTACTTGACTTCCTTTACTGTCTACATATATGTGCAGCAGTAGCTTGGTAAATTGAAAATATTATTATCCTAAGATTTGGTTCTCAGAAATGT